CAAGGTGCTAAATATAGAATCTTTTTTTAGAATTTATTTATTGTGTGGAATTAAACTTCTACTTGCAGTTTTCGTACATTACTATAATCTTAAATAATTATTTGATTGCTTTTTTTCATAACTTGGGTTCTGGTAGAATTATTTTTCATTTCAATTTAAACCAAAATTCAGTGAGTTACATGTAATAAAAAAAATCTCTTCTCTTTTAACAGCCAGTTTTTGATGATAAAATTTTATGAAACCGAAATACACCTCGGATGGCCAGCATTACATTCCCAGCACACAGTGACCATGTTCATGCTAACATTGGGCCAACGCTGGACCAACATACTGTTACTGTACCAGCTTAAATAACCATGCATCTTTTTAATGGCATAGCAAACATTGGGCCGACAATGACCCAATGTAATACTCCCAATTCATATGCACATCGTCCTATAGTTCGCAGTACGACGATGGGACAACGTTGGACCAATGTAGAGGAAACGCATGCTAACACTGGCCAAACATACTGTTACCAGATTAAATAATCAAGTGTGTTAAGGTTGCATTACAAACGTTGGGCCAACGCTAAGCCAACTTTAGAAATCCAACGACCGTAGACAATGTAGCAAAAAGAGTTGCTTAATGTTGGACCAACGTTGGGCAAACGTAAGAATCCCAACATGGTTGGCTACTAAAGAAAAGATTGACATGGTAACATTGGTCAAACGTTGTCTAGCAAACGCCAACCATCGGCCAACTGTACAACCATTTACCAACGTTGGCCCTACATAGTAATGCTATCTGGGTAGTAACCATGTTCTCAAATTTTTATTTGACCAAGAGACTAAAATGATCCATTCGGTTGTACAAGCTTCGATGAGGAACACATCATATAAAGTCACGGTAAGTACCAAGGTTATTGTGTACGTTTCCGTTAACATCTCTGACAATTAGACAATACTGAAAACATATTGTAATCTGTAAAGCTTTTAAAAATAAGACAGTGTTGGTTTCCCTCTGGACACCCCTCCCGATGTCCCAATACCACCATGCTGAAGATAACTGGATATCGGAAAGATGGGGGGGGGGGGGGGTGGGTCGTCCTTAAATGTGATGTAATGTTCTCTGTTTCGGAAGTGTTCATATTCAATATTTAAAGAATAAACATTCGAGAAATAAAAAGAACATTTGATACTTCTCTACTGGTTATTTTGAACAGAACATATTATCAGAAGTATAAAATATTAAATATTTGTAGTATAATGATTGTATAGTAGACCTTTTATATATATATATATATATATATATATATATATATATATATATATATATATATATATATATATATATATAATATATATATTGTATCATACATGCAATCTTGGGAAATTCTTATGAAGTCTCCAACACATCATGTGAGTTCCCCCGGGGAAAATATGAGTGTCATCATGTTGCCTCTGCTTTACTATATGGGTAAGAGATACATTTAACATATTTAGCATACAAAGTCTAATGACCTGATGATTCAAGATTATTTACATGTATTTCAATCATGAGCCAGAAGGCTGAAGTGATACTTAGGTAAACCATGAGACATAAATTCACAGATACAAATGTGTGAGCAAGATTGACATAAAGTGTGGATGGATGAAGAACCCAAAGACTTCAATTAAAAAAGACATAAAAACAATGGAAGAATTGTTTCCCCCTGCACGCCAAGATTGCTTGTAAGTACTTATATTTTAAACATTTTAATATTGTCAGTGAGGCAATGTGTATTTTCTTTTAAATATAGTTATTCATATACTTGCAATTATTCATTGCATATAATTTAAAAATATATATATCAATCATTAAAAATATATATCAATCATAAAACATTTGCTTCACATTTGAAGTGCTTAAAGCCGGCCCTTTGATGAAAGTGATCGGTGTTTTTTTTTTTTCTTTTCACCAAGAATTAGCAAAGCTTGGAAGGTTATTGGTAAAATATAAGAATGAAATTCTGATTTTGATGTTATTGTTGTTATTTAAATTTGATTTGATTGTTACATTAAGAGTATTATGATATTGTTATTTTGATACTGACCGTTGGTTGATTTTCACTGTGAACAAATGTACAATGATGAGGAGCATATTGTTGGCTTTGTATAATCTGTCCAATTTTTTAACCTATTAGGTAATAAATAACAATCTTTGCATTGGACAGGTAATGAATATGATAGCATTTTTATGTATACATTTTTTGAAAGGAATAAATTTCATTCAATTGCATTTAAAAAGAATATTTTTTTTCATATTCTTGCAAATCATCAGGTCAATCTTCTATTATTCTAATAGAATATGTCAGTATGAAACCCTGATTAATAAGTTAGTAAATGTTAATTGTACATTTGCACCAATTTTTCCTTGGCACAGGGTGTTTCATAATATATGTTACATTTTGAATCTATAATTAGACAAAGACAGAAAATAAATAAAGGAAAAAGTTTTTAACATTTTAATATACGTATCCATAAGATTTAATGTTAATAATGATGAACATGAGTGTTAAATCTTAAAGGACATATGAATCATAAATGCAGATTTATCAAATTTCTAAATTGCGTCATTTTTAGATGATTTTTCACAACGTCAAATTTTACATTAAATGTTCTTAATGACCACCGTCTCTTTCAACAACAAGGGAAAGTCGCTTTCTGAAATTTTTTACACAATTGCAACACATGTCTACTGATACGTTCCTCATATGAAGTTTAATACTCTTTTTGAGTTCATCAAGTGTCTGTGGTTTTGGGCTGTATACCCTGTCTTTCAGAAATACCCACAGGAAAAAGTCCAAAGGGTTCAGATCTGGTGAATGCGGAGGCCATACTCTTTCCGTTCTGTATGGATATCAGCCTGTCACCAAATGTTTCCTCCAACCCGTTTAAAACAGCAGATGAAGTGTGAGGTGTTGCTCCATCCAGTTGAAACCAAACAGTTTGTAGGTGTCAACTTCATGCCATATTTCAATGTCCTGTACACACTGGAAATACTGATGTTTTCAGCATTAATGTCCGTAAACATCTGTCTAACACTTTTCTGAGGAGTTTCTGTAACTAAAGTTTCCACTTTACTGATGAAATCATCAGTTCTTGAAGTCCTTGGTCTTCCCAGATTGTCGTGTCTTTTATCACATACTGTCCCTGTCTTCTCAAACTTTGTTATTAACCTCCTGATAAACATTCTAGAGAGCTTCTTTCCTTTGGTATATTTTCTTTCATTATTTTTTGAATGATTTTTGGTGATTTATATTGGTAATAGAGTTTTCAATACAATACAATTTCAGCTTTTTGTCGATCAGTTAAATCCATTTTTAAAGGTAATGAAATTGTGACATCAGCGTTTATGTCACAATTAACCATGATGACGCTATGATTTCCTGAACTTTTTCACAAGTATAAAAATTTAAGAATTGATGTTTAAATTCATATATGATTTGTGTAAAAAGAATAAGTAACAAAGATATTTAGATTTAAAAATGTAACATATATTATGAAACACCTTGTATGAACTCTTATAATAATTACCTGATATATGCATGTAGATATTATTTTTGAGAATGACACAAGTCTGGAAATTTTTCAGCATTGAAATGGATTCTTGAACCAGAGCCTTGTGAGCCAGGTCCACCTGTTCCTATCATTGAAGACCTGTTAACGTCACCAGAGTATGTTCATTCTGATGCCCCTATGGTATGGTTAAGACATGCATTATCCCTGTCAGAAGAAGGCATTAAAAGAACAGCATTAGCAACAATTGGGCAAAGGAACAACCCGCTGTGGTCGATTGTAAGAAAATACCGAATAACAGCTTGAATCCGGAGTGTTGGAAGCTTCACCTGATGGCTTAGTTGTACGACCACCAACATGCAGTGTATTTTATCAAACTCCAGAAGTCAAAGATGCCATTCCTGATATTGTAGAGGTGAAGTGTCCATATACAGCATCGTCTTCAACAATAGCAGACGCAGCACAAAATTTGAAGGAATTCTTCATAGGTAAATAATAATTTATAATACATGTATTAATTTACAAGTGCAACTGTTCATCATAGTATGAAGAGATGGAAAAGAGAGGGGATATGAATAGGCGTAACACAACATTAAACGAGTTTTTGATTTTTAGATATTAAACAAAATTCCCTGTGCCTGAAAACCAGTCACCCATACTATCATCAAATTCAAGGCCAGTTATACATATATGTAATAAAACATGCTGCGACTTAATTGTGTGGACAAGAGTAGACTGCATTGTGATTAGAATAGTAAAAGACATTGAATGGACTGCAAATGTTTCAAAGCTAGTCGATTTCTACTTTAACATTTTCATTCCAGCACTGATAGAAAACTGAGTTCTGGTTTCAATGTATTTTGACACTTGCTTCTGTATCTCTAGAATTTTCTCACAACGCGAATGCAAAATGAGTAATTCATGTTAAATGTGTTGAAAATTCCAGTTATTCTTGTATGATGTGATATGTCACAATTCATCAGAAAACTTCTGGCTTATAAAAATAGTTTAAATAGCAATGGTGCTTAATTTAATCATGTACTACAAATAAAAAATAATAAAATTTATCATTTTATTAATGAATTGAAGATGTTATTCTCAATGTGGAAATGTAACATTTTTTGTCATTGTTAGATAAATTGTTGAAAATAATACTAAGCTGTTGATTTGTGCTTTGAAGGTACATGTACTTGAAACTCAACAATTAAGCAGACCCTCTTCCAAATTATATAGTAAAATATAGTTACGGCAAACACCCTTGTAATAAATTCATGCTAGCAAAGGGATTTTCATTCCTTGTAGTATTCAAACATACTATGAACTTGACAAAAACAACCATTGACATTGATAACAAATCAAAACTTGTTTATCCCTGGCACTTTGGTATGAACATTTTTACTGTAGTGATGTATAATGTAACAGACTGTCAAACCCCAATGCAGATTTATAATAAATAATTCTTTAAGCAATTTCTTTCAAAAGTGGAGCTTGCAAGTTTACGAGACAAGAACAGAGTTGAAATATTTTTGTTGAGATCGGTCTGTAAGTAGATGGGATGTGACGGAGAATCTCATAGTTCTTTATCCTCTCGTTGGCTCTTTCCACATGAATGCGTGCTTTAGCAATCTTGTAACACAATGCTGCTTCTTGTTTGGTAAACTGGCCTCGTGTCGATAAAAAAGCTGGTATATTTAAACAGACACCTTTGGGCAACTGATCATGAATGGTTAAACCTTTGTCGGCCAAAATAAGGTCTCCAGCTTTAAATTTTTGTAGGACTTGGCTGTGGCGTACAATAGCTACATCAGAAGTAGAACCTGGATACAGCTTAGAGCAAAATGTAAGTGCACCGTTTGGAGCCACGCAAGTCACTGCTTTAACAGTATGTCGACTTTTGTAGGTACTGTAGGCCATGGCTTGATTATCCATATGTGTTGGGATGTCCTGGGTAGTTCCAATTGCATCCATGGATGCTCTAGCAGAGGAGAAATCCTCAAAAGATTTTGGCATAGACCCTGAAAAAAAGTTGGAAAAAAATTAACCCGATGATTTGTAATTGTGTTATACAAGAAGTTTAAATGCATTAAATTTTTGGAAGTCATTATGATAAATTTTAAAACAAACCTTTGCATTTAAGTTGACTTGGAAAACATTCGTTGACTACACCATCAGACAGCATCTCGTGTAGTGCATAAACAAGGGTATGGAAGATGTTCGAAATGGTTGGTCGACTGACACAGAATCTATGGGCCAAGTCAATGTCCCGAAGATTGATTTTTAACTTCATCAGTACAATAAGGAGTTGGTTCTCTGTTTCCATTGAAGGAGTTTTGAAGATTGATTTTTAACTTCATCAGTACAATAAGGAGTTGGTTCTCTATTTCCATTGAAGGAGTCCAGCCATTATAGTAATAGAGTTCGAACAGTTGTAACAATCTGACTAAGATTTCGAATATGTCATACTGTGGGGATGTATATAAAAGCATCTGAAAATAAATATATTTTACTGATTAAAATAAATCTAAGAACTTTAAAGATTGTAGATAAATTAGTTTCAAGTAGTAACAATATCAGTCGCAGTCAGGTATACTACCATCCACATTATGCATTCATTTAAAACTGGTAATATGAGACAGAGAGATTGAAATTATCCCTAGTGGAAAAAATGATTATAATAATTGTAGAATGACCACACAATCTTAATTACAGGACTATCAAGCAAACTTAAAAATTGTGAACCTAAATTAAGAGTTCTGATAATTGTTATCATACAGTAAAACAAGGTTACAGCAAAATATGCTTTTGATGTTACTCACCCTCTCAGCGAAATGATTTCTCTTTCCTATCATTTTAAATCATGTATATTATGAACTCAACGGTAATAACAAAATATATTTACAATAAATCAAAGTTGTTCATCCCTCAATGGCACTTCGCAACAAGTTTTACAGAAATTGTTAGGAAATAGGAAACCATAATTGGAATTACTTTATGTACCTTCTCTTCATTGTCTTTAATATCGGGAATTGACATTGGCTTCCTTTTACTCGACTCTAATCTTAACGCATGTAATTCCTTTTTCCAGGTGTTCTATTTCTGTTGAGAGACGCTGCATTTCTTGAGTACAGTTAAATGTGCAGGATGCTGAGTAGTTGTGCTCTGATATCAATTGAAATATACTGTGAATCATGAGTAATTCAATCTACAGTTAAAAGAACTATTATATTATTAAAAATTATTGAAAATGTTTTTATGTTGGCCCTTTGTCATCTACGGTGTTTTAAAGGAGCTTTCCCTTTTCTTGATCTTGACATTCTGTCACATGTGTAATCTGCAGCTGGTCCATCTGTGAAGATGAAAGAGACTCCTCACTTTTGATTTTATTCCTCCTTTGTAAAATAATTAAACTCGGATTATTTTTCATTCAGTTGTAAGCTACTCTGTTGATACCCTATTTAAGATTTAGTAAAATATTCTCAATTAACCCCACCCACCATCCCAAAAAAAGTCATATTTTGAAAAATAATTTCACCTTTTGGTACATTCAGAATCAGAGAAATTCATAGCCTTTCCTTCATTCCATGCAAATAATGCAGGATCCCCCTCCTTCACACCATCCTTGAAATGTCAGGAGCAGATACGATCATTCTGATCTCCTGGTTGGCGATCAGCTCTTCTATAAATATTTACAAGGACTGAGTGAAGGAGAATTAAAAAGCAATACATGTACATATGATAATTTAGTGACTTGTTCATAGCCCAAATGACTAGTAATATTTTTTCCACTTTTTCAAATGTTATAAACTTACAAATACAAGATAACCCTGTGCATAACATCACTAAAGGGCAGCAGTACTTGGTAATAATAACACAATATAAAAGGTTATAAAAACAGCTGATAAACAAAAATGCGCTTCTGTTGCACGTACAATAGATAAAGTATTCAAGTCTAGATTGTATGTTGTACTCTTCTGCAAATTATATAAAACTAAAGAGGGCAGCAGAAATCAGCGCTGCAGGATTATCATGTGATTATAATACATTTATCCACTTCTGCAAACTTCAAAGTTTTTACAGAATTCTCTTCATTATTCTTCTGCTATATTGATTACGATGAGATTTAACATTTTAGCAAGTATGTATAAATATCTGGCAAAGCAGCATCGTGATATATCGTCACAAGTACTTATAAATTTGGTCAATATATCTTTTTCCCTATACACTGTAGCAGGCCGAAATATCTCGACCATGTCAACACTCACGCATCTCGTGATTAATGCTGTAATAAACAAAACTGCTGTATTTTTCTCACCTGCATAGTTTCCCCCACAACAATCGCTTCTTTCCGTCTGTAGGAAAGCGATGAAACTTGCAGCTGTTAGCCCCACTCCGGTGGTTGCAAGCGAATGCAAAACATATCACCATTTTTGTTTGTCACCGGAAGTATTCAAATCTCGCGCGCTCTCGCTTACGAGCTTACAGTCCCTATATATTTAATATAAAATGGTAAATCCAAAGTTTTTATGCCCCAGTGTGGAAGATTCGGGGGTATATAGTTTTTGCCCTGTCCGTCCGTCTGTCTGTCTGTTTGTCCACAAAAACTTAAACATTGCCCATAACTTTTGATTGGTTGGAGCTATGGCTTTCATGTTTCACATGTGTATTACCTTTGACAAAAACCTTTCTTTGGGTGCCATCATATTTGACCTTGAAGTTTGACCTACTTTTCCAAAATTTTATCCAGCTTTAACCTTGGACATAACTTTGGAACAATTAGTGCTATGGCTTTCATACTTCACATGTGTATTTCTTGTGACAAGACCTTCCTTTAGGTACCAACTTCGACCCTTTGACCTTGACCTGGGAGTTTGACTTACTTTAGTAAACTTTAACCTTGGCCATAACTTTTGAACAGTTGGAGCTAGGGCTACCATACTTCACATATATAATCCTTAATTTTGACAAGACCTTCCTTTAAATACCAACAACTTTGACCTTGACTTAGAAGTTTGACCTACTTTTGAAAAACTTTTAATCTTGGATTTAACTTTTGAACGTTTAGTGCTAGGGCTTTCATACTTCACATACGTAATCCTTGTGACAAGACCTTTCGTTGGATACCTACAACTTTGACTCCTTGACCTTGGAGTTTTACCTACTTTTGAAAAACTTTAACCTTGGCCATAACTATTGAACAGTTGGAGCTTGGTCTTTCATATTTAGCATGTTTATTCCTTGTGAGAAATCCTTCCTTTTGGATACAATTGTAATCCATTGGCCTTGACTTTGGAGATTGACGTACTTTTGAAAAACTTTAACCTTGTCCATAACTATTGAACTGTTGGTGCTACGGCTTTCATATTTCACATGTGTATTTCTTGTGAGACGTCCTTTCCTTGGGCACTATTAAATTAGACCTTGACGTTTGACTTACTTTTTAAAAACTTTCTCTTCCATATCTGTTCAATGGTTGTTTTAGGGCTTTCATATTTCACAGGTATATTACTCTAGACAAGACCTTACTTTGGGTACTAACATATTTGATTTGCATTTGAAAAAGTTTAACCTTTGCTAAAAGTTGCCATAGGGGGCATCAGTGTTTCACAAACACATCTTGTTTTTATCGTTTTATTTTATATCAATTAGTTTATTGAGAAATTTACTTTATTTTATATGATCGATTATTTATTGATATTAATTGACATATATTATCAGTTTTTGGTCAATATTGATGAAAACTCATTCTTACAGATGTTTTTAGTTTAAAATCAATTGTTTCATGTTCGTTGATATATAATTACTTTGAATATCACAATAATTAAAGCAGCATAAAACTAATACTATAGTTACACATTCCCCCGCAGCCAATGACGTCCTCGTCATTCATTAACAAATAGTGGAGAAAAACTATATATATATATATGCAAAACATTCATTTTATGAATTGAATGAGATTATTTTTGCCTACTCAACAAAGAAAAATCTCAATTCAAATTTCACTAAAAGGCATTTTTCAGCAAATGTTATGGAATACTCTTATACATCAATTGGCAATCAAAATGTTGAAAGTAATTAACAGCATAGAATATCACATTCTCCCTCTAATGACAAATGGCGTTTTTACGGTATCGATCATTTACCATTAAATTATTAAGAGAGAGAATACTCACCATCAATCTTAATTCATTGACTATAATTATTTATACTATGTGCTAGAGAGCACATATACTCCCAACTTAAACAGCCAAATGTTAACACAAGGACGTATAATTTCATATTTTATTCAAATATGCACCAAAGAACACTGCATTGCGCTGTAATTCATTAAAACCAATAGCAATAACAAAGAGGAATGACTTCCCTCAGTTAAGTACGAATTTCAGAAAATCAATGGAGCCTGCTGCTGGTTATATCAAGCCAACAGTTGACTGCTTGATGTCCAGGAGTAAAGGATTTTTGAAAATTGGATTAAGTTAGATGGTTTTGGACCCACCTCTCAGACCCTCCTTTGCCCATAAATGCTATATTCTATACCCGGATGAAAATGGTTAAGCAGTTAGTGAGAAGAAGCTGAAAACGTTCAAAAGCTTACGACCGACTCACGACGCTGGACGAATGCAGATAGGAATAGATCACCAGAGTGACTCCGGTGACCAAAAATGCACTTTGTTTGCTTGCTTGATACCCAAGAGCAGAGAAAAAGATTTTTAACGAATTTATACATTTTCACTATGTGATCAATTGCGCCCCGCCCTAACATCTGAACTCCTGATCCTGAGTACATGAATTTCACAATTTAAGGATGTATACCATAAACTCTAAGAGTATAGGTCTTTAATATTTGATAAATGTCAGAACATGAATGTACTTTCACAATATTTGATATATTTAGATGATAGTTTCAAGGCCTTTGGGCTTCTTGATCGGTATCGTTACACTCTTCATTCAGAAACTTAAGGACTATTTGGAAGCCTTACACATGAAAGAATCCAATAAAGAGAGACGGGAGTCTCAAGAAACTACCTTTTCATGTTTTTTAGAAAAGGAAAATCAATTTTAACTTAATACTGGATGACATTATGAACAGACTGCTGCTAAAGACATCGCCTCATTTTCCCGTCATTTTAGGGATGCTTGACTTTATGACATTACCCAATGGACAATTTTATGAAAAATGTTAAAAGTGTTTATAAAGCATTTTAGAATTTTAATTGTTAAATTTAATACGGTAAACAGCTTTCAGAATAAACAAAATCGCCAAGAATTCTTTGAAATCCTCTTTAGCTGTGAAGGTCAAAAACCAGGAGTTGGTGCAATGGTAAGGTGTCCCTTGTTCATCTGGACACAAACAATTTTGAAATGCTTTGATTTCAGTGAAACATGGAGCACGAGTATACTCTAGGATATATCATTTTTTTTATTCGAGGAACAATACTGCCAGGATTACTAGAAATTTCTCTGAGTCACCATTCCACTCCATTGTTACATTCACTTCATATAAACTTTATCACATTTTTGATTTCAATGACTGGTGTCATGTTTGTTTTTTTTACACTACGACTAACATTCTTTTAATAAAAAAATATAAAGCAAGTAATAAAACTCTCTGGATGAAATATGTTATATATGTAGATATAAATAATTATTTAAAGTCCTAGCTATAAATTACTTAATTCTTTCAGTTCGAATCTCTAATTCTTACCCATTTTTAATCTTATCTTACAAAAAATTGACTGAAAAGAACTTTACAGTCATTGCTTACTTTTGTTGCTCTTATTATGCTGGCATAAAAATTATAGGAGGGCAATGATCAAATTCTTGAGATATGTTTTCTGGAATGGTTTATGATCATATTTTGGAAATTCAATTATTTTAAATAATACATGAACTTAAACACACAATATTGTTACTAAAAATAGAAATTTCTTTGAAATTCTATCAAAATACATCCCCTTCTTTAGTTTCTGTCCAGTTTTACTGATACTTGATACACAAGAAGACATATTTTTATCTATCGGTTTTTCATTTCAACAAACTGTTGCCATGGTAATTGGTTACTAAAAGAGAAATTTCTTTAAAATTCTTTAATGCTACTCCTCCTACAGTTTAGGTCCAATTACAGCAAGACTAGGTACACTAATAGACTATACCTAGATATATCATTCTGTGTATAGGCTTTTGATTTGCACACATGGTGTTGAATTGATTACTGAAAATGTAAATTACTTTTAAATTCTTTTGAAACTCTGCTCCTCCTACAATTTAGGTCCAATTTCAATAAGACCTGGTGCACAAGTAGACTAATATACATGATTCCTTATAAGTTTTTGAGTTCGATAAACTGTCACCATGGTTACTAAAAATAGAAATTCTTTTAAAAAGTCACTCGTCTTACAGTTTTGGTCCGATTTAAATACGGCTTGGTGCACAAATAAACCATACTAAGATACAGAATTCTATGTATTGGTTTTTGATCTTGACAATGTTGCCATGGTTACTTAAAATAGAAAGAAACTGGGGGGATAAGCCGAGCCATATGCCTACATAACGATCGATAAAAAATCAATAAATTCATTTTACAAAAATTTCACTTTTTGTTGAATTAATGTAATGCTTATTACCATTTGCATACAAATTTGACAAAACCTGAATACTGTAACAGTGAAAATGATTCTGATTAACACAAAAAAATGGCATCACGCTCAATTTTCACAAAAACTGACATAAATTGGATGATATAACTACATTTTTTAAATAGAGTGGGTCATCGTACCATTTTTTTCAGAACGATTAATGAAAGGCAATGGAAAGATGTTGCTTTTTACACTTGCAAATATTTGGTACGAAGACCCACTCTACATAAAAAATTAAGTTAACTTACTTAAATTTTCACCGTGGTCTTAAAAAATTCTAAGTCCAAATACGCTTGCTAAATATAGAGAACTGTATGCTATTTAAATGGGTATGTATGTGTGACTCCGTGGTACAGTGGTTAGCGAGGAGCTCTTTAAAGGGACGTTTATTGAGGAAAGTGTTCGAGTCATGCTCTGATTTTTTGATTTTGTTTTTTGTTTTCTTTGGTTTTAATTTTGTTTTACTTTATAAAAATGTCTATAGGAATAACATATTTTTCACTGGAAATAAAATATATACATGTAGTAATGAACTTATTTACAGTAAATTATTTAAAATGCCGGATAAAAATTATAATAGATATTTGAATACTTTTATTCCCGTTCTTATTTATTTTAAATAAAAGCGCTTCTAGATCACCATTATCATTATAAACGATGTTAACATTTTTATAATATCTCCACAATAAGTGTAAACACTCAATATGCAAATTAATTAATAGAAGTCCTTACCCATGTTAGACATTTGTGACAGTAAATGAAAGTCAACTGTTTAGCTTGTTTAGAATATACATATCATTTTTAAAACTACGGTAAACGTTAAAATGCTTAAGTAAACTCGAACAATTGAGAGATTTTTTCCAATAAATGTTCTTGCATAGCCGAAAAATGGGCATGGGCACATGGCACGTCTTATCCCCCCAGATTCTTTCTTCGAATTCTTTCAAAACGCTAAAGTTTTTGTCCAATGCCAATAAGACCTGGTACACATGTATACTATATTAAGATTTTCGATAAACGGTGTTGCTAAGGTTACCAAAGATAGAAATTTCTTCGATTTTGTTTTGAAGTACTAATCTTCCTACAGTTTAAACTTTTTATACACTGTCCTAAGATACAACTTTCTTTATTATAGGTGCCCAAGAGTTGAGCTACAGTTTTGTTAGAGACTTCTGGTTTTGAGGATAATAGCTCACATTTACCCTTCAAGTACATTCATGTACATGTATGCTGCTTTTTTCTCTTTGTCCTTTTTCAAGTCATCATTCTTTTAGATCTTTTGTTTAAAGATGAAATTGCTAAGTTTAATTTCTTGAAATATGCATTTTCAAATGTTCTGAATAATTTGAAGCCTGTATCATAATGACATACACGTATCTTTATTAAAGATTACTTCTTCATTGCAGTATGGAAGTCGTCAAATATTTTACATGAGATCCAAGTGTTTTTGTTTATTCTAAAATTTTGAATATTTGTTTTTTAATTGTTTTGTATTTTTTTTACTTGATCAAAGCTACTGGAATACTTAAAAGGATATTTATTACATTCAATTAAAATGTGAACAAACTCCGTATGACTACTGAAATCTATTTGAATAGTATGTATGTACATCTATATCCTTTGCAATGACCATAATATTTACATTTTTTGTGGAAAATATATGTTTAACGGACAAAGGTATTGCATTAATTTTTGGAGGTATCTTAGATGCATGCTAATATTTTTCTCGTCAGTATTCGACAATACAGAGCAAAGAATATTTACTCCGTTAAGGCGGAGACAGATTTGTCTTCAATATATTAATATTTTTAAAATCATTTATGCTAACTGAACGTTGGCGTGCCTAAGGTGTATATAATAGGAATACTCGTATGATAAATGCTACAGAATACAGGATTCTTGAGAGGATCAAGTGAGTACTGCTAAAGTGATTTGTGTTGTTTATTATAATTATTTTTTTTTTAACTTTACGTTTTTGTTCGGTTGCCTTTTTTCTGGGAGGGGCCTTTTTTTTTTTTAATAATTCTACGCGTCTACCTTTCATGAGCAAATCTTGATTCTTTCATATTTCTCAATAAAGGTACTACTATACATATTGATATTTTTTGAATTAACGATTATATTTTTTCATATAAAAATTGAGATTAACATGCATGTGTAATTTTTCTTTTAAATCATTATATTCCGAATTATATTTCATTCAGATTTTAATGCAAGAAAAGTCGCAGCAATTTACGTCTAATACTTGTTCCATGCTCTACTTGCAGATTGAAATACTTGCATGGCTTTTTTCTGAGTCGATTCACATTACAGACATGCTGCTTTCTATATCATATGCATATGTATTTAAATCTTTATTTATGCAACTTACATAATTTGCCGAGTTTTAAATATTAAAAGCAGATTAATGATTTGTTTTATGTTTATTTTTACAAACACTGGAATATACCGCATAATGGGTTTCTTTAGCGGGTGTAAAATTTGGCGTTTTGCTTGCTCAAGGGTATGCCAATAATTTTGGTGGAACTTTTTTGCGCGGACACACAGTTCCATGGCGTTGTAGAAGACAGGAAGTTCATCTTCTAGATGAGTTTTCAGTACGTTGAATATACGTTTAAATACCGATTAAGACAAGAATTTGAGGGAAAAACAAAACTAAATGAAATATATATTCTTTAACAACAGACTGATAGAAGTTATTTTATCGTATTCAGTACTTATACGCGAGGTTGCAAATTTAGCGATTAAATTTATAGCGGGCTCCTTAACCAGAAGCTAAGTCTCTAATGAGACATTATCTACTGGTTTGAACTTATAACAAAATGAAGGGAAAAAATAATACATGTACTTGCAATTGAAACTATGCAACAGCAATAAATAGAATTTTGGTCCTTGGTTTAGTCTCTTTTTGTAGCAAGATTTATTGCAATCAGGCTAAAACTGTCGTCGAAGAAGTCCTTTGAAATAATTTCACCAAAAAAATTATTTTTAGTACCATAGCAAGACTGTTCATCAAAATCAAAAACTGATAAATAGTATTATGTATTTCAGTGAAGTCTACTTGTGTGCAAAATTAAACTGAAATGTAGAAGGAGTAGCATTTTAAATGTATTTCACAGAAATTTCTAATTACATGTATAGTACATGTAACTATATGCATGGCAACTATAAAACCGATACAAAGAATTAATTACCTCAGTTTGAAATCTCCTTGTCTGCCAAGTTATATATTGGAATCAGACCAAAACTTTACGAGAAGCAGCATTTTGAAAGTATTTTACAGAAATTTTTATTTTTAGTAACCATGAAAACAATTCTCAGCAAAATTTTTAAAAAATCATGTGCAGGATATTGCATCTTAGTGTAGTCTATTTGGAGGAGGAGTAACGATTTAAAGGAATTGCAAGAAATTTCTATTTTTAGTAACCATGGCAAAACCGTTTACCATAATCAAAAACCAATGCACAGAATAATAATAATTCCTAATTATTCACTTTTCTTTTTTGCTTGTAGATAATGAGCTTTTGTTTGTTTCTTTGTATCGATGATTTACAGATCAATTGAGTTTTGTGTTTACTTTTTAATTGACCCATTTTTACAAAAGTTATGGACCTTAAAATTTCTTATCATTCACTGGCTTTGGATCTTTTTTTGTTACTTTGCTTGTAAGTGATCATCTTTTTATGCACCTTCAGTATGATGTGGCATAGACAACTTATTCCTGAAAACAGAAGCAGCAGTATGATATTTATTGTTGTGCCATTCCCACCCACTGTTATTTTCACATTCTTGGGACTTTCACATACTTGAAACGTGCATGTGTGTCAGTCTGACACATCTATGGGATTTCCTTGTTTGTTTAACAGCCCAGTGGAGGGCTGCAAATTTAGACCTGTACTAGGAACTTGTAGCCTTTGAGGTGTGAGGAATCTTCATGTCAGCAACTTCTGCGACACGAGACCCCGGTTTATATGGTCTCTTCCGAAGGACCGATCTCCGCGTTACACAGTGGATTCGAACCCGCGACGTAAGGATCAACTCCTTACTCCGCCACTCTAGAGCAAACATTCTAACTACTCCGCAACGCGGGCGACCACATCTAATCGAGAGAAAAGAAGTTTGTAGCATTTGTTCCTCTGTTCCCTTGTACAATTAGCACACAATATTCTTGTTTGTACAAGATATAGTACATATGTGGAGATCCTTAGTCTCTAAAAAAAATAATGAGAAAGATGTAATACCAGTCTTTATCAAAACTATTTTGCGCCCCCCAGGGAAATTAGGAGCCCCCCCTTTTCTCTACATTTTCAAATATCAGAAAAAGGTGTTGCTTATAAATATTTTTAATATCAGTTAAAAGGTCTTATGATTAAACTGATATTCAACTTTCTTGAAATGTTTAATCTAGAATGAGAATATAAACAAGTAACTCAAGTAATACAATCATTATCTTCAATTTAATTATTTTATTAATTTCAATTTTTTATTAGCAGAAATCTGCAGGAGACTAAAGATTTTTTTTTCTTTTTGAATTAAATATTTTAAATGCAAGGTAAATATATTTTTGTCTCCGAAATAAGTCATATAATACTTATTCTTTAGTTGACTGAATAACTGAAAATAATGTAATGGCATATCTTCATGTATTTCGCATGAACAGAGGAATGGAGGACATTCGGACTAAGAAAAAAAGGCGATCGTTTTTAGGAATAAATAAGTCATGTAGCACTGCTAAATTTATCAGTTGAAGGAGATTAAAGATCAGTAAGGTCATACGGCTTAGATTTTTTTAATTGGTTGGAAATTTTATAATAAAAATTTGGGGGAAATACCTGCTTTTTAGCTTTAAAATTGGGACCTTAAAAAATCCTGGCAGGCCCATCGGACTTATTTGATTTTCAACTTTACTTGCCCCCAGTAAATTTCACTGGCCTCTGACCTGTGGGTTTTGGTAATAATTGTGATACATACATAAGCTATATGAGAAGGTAGTGATACATATATAGTCTATATAGAAGGTAGTGATACATATATAGTCTATATAGAAGGTAGTGATACATAATTACATAATCCCTATATAGAGAGTATACGCAGTTGAAGTATATGATACAATGATGGCAGCTAAACGCCTGAGCTTCTTACTCACTTTCTCTGAGGCGTAATTTTATTCAAAATTGTTCAAATAATGTTTTAGAAAAAGAATACGAAAGTCGAATGCAGACATTTGAGATGGGAACAAATTCAATTAAAAACAGTAAGGATAATATTTTCATCGATACTTCCTAGCCACTTGATTAAACCTAACAAAATGATGTAATAAATGAGTCTGTAGAGAGGAAAATTCAGGGATTGTACGACAGACATAATGCTGTGCCCCTGCAGAATGTTGTCAGATTTGAACATCTGCATCCCAGTATTCTCTAACCAATAAGCTGTGAGCATGTACAGGGAGCTTGAATAGATTTTAAGATATAACATGTTTTAGATTATTTAATTTAAATGAGATAAACTTTTATAATATGTGAGACTGAGTTTATTTGAATTCTACATGAACTTAACAATTTTTAAGAGCACAGTTTCAGATACACTTTAAATGATTTGAATGCTGAAATTTACTTTCAAACTCAAATAACATTTAATATATATTTTCTTTTCAACAAAGGCCACGATGTCAAGACTCGGCCTTCCTCTAGTATTTTTATTCGTCTGGGCTTGGGCAAGCGCATACGTTTTGGAAGAAAGGTGAGGATTAAATATGAAGATAGATAGTAAATAAGCATGCTAATATTTTCTAACCTGACAGTGAATTGTAGTATTTGTATTGAATATATTATCGCAAGTCAAACTATTGGGATTGCTACAGGTACCTCATTGTGACGGATTCTAATCCCACTTAAAAATTATTGTAAGCTTTGAAGTTGAGTTTGTTCACGGTAGAATTGTTTGATATGCTGAATGATTCTTTTAATTCATGTGCAAAAAGTATACAAAAAAATTTCTTCTAAAAAATCTTTTGAGCAAAAAAGTTTAAATCCACTTTTTCATTTTCTCATGGGTTTTTCTAAATGCCGCTGATTAGTCAGAGGGATACGCACCTTGCTTATTCTGTGTATTTATAGCAATTTACGGTTTAATGTCGTTCTAGACTTCCATATTAGAAAAACGTCAAGACCTGTTTAAATAGGTACTAATAGCTACAAGTGTAGCCTCTCCTTGAAAGAGGCAGTCCAGTTGTACATGCTCCAAGTAGATTATAAAAATCTACGACATTTCAATTTGAACAATGTGACCCTATGGGCCTATATAAAATAATGAGCCATGCCAATCTGAAAAAAACCTCAAATTTTAGTATCATCATGCAATTTGCCTTCGAAGTTTTTTTTTTTTTTTTTTTTTTTTTTTTTTTTTTTTTTTGATACAAGAATTGAAAACTTCCAATGCATTTCTAATCCCCATTTAACATTACCCCTTTTTTGAACCTTAACACTTTGGGACAAAGCAAACAAGATTTTATTTTATTGATATCTGTATATTTGAGTAAAACCTTTCGCGACCACAATTCTACGTGATAATGGCGAATATCAGTACCACAATTATCGCAAAGATTTAGTTTGTACAGAGAGCTTGATTAAAAAGGTGAAGATAACAAAGTGACCGATCTCAAAAAGTACTATAGAAATCTTTAAAGAGGGCATAAAACACCGACCCCCTGAAATTCCAGAGGTGGGGTCAGGTGTCTAGGAGGAGCCAGCATCCCCTTTTGACCGGTCACACCTGCCGTGAGCCCCATGTATTGATCAGGTAGACGGAACATTCTGTAGTCTAATTCAGTATAAGAACAAAGGCCTAACAACTGGTGTGTAACACGTCAACCAAAATACGACCCAATGATAGGTTGTATTTGCAAACAACGTCATTATAATCACTATAGAACTTACGAAATGCTGACTTTAAACGAGGTTGTTGAGATCCCTGTAACAGCGACTTATCTGTCAGTAAGCAGCTCCGGTTCATCAGGGATCGAAATTAGCGGGAAATACTCGCAAAATGCGAGATGATTTTCAAAAAAGCGAGTGAAAATAGTAGATACTCGAACTTTTTTAGCGAGTGGTGATTTTCGACCTCGATTGTCTCGTATCCATATTTTTCCGGTAATTTGTCTTTTGGTTTTTTTTTTTTAAACTTTAACATAGTCACGATGATTAAAGCAGCCGTTTTTATCCATCTTTTTGTTATATTCATTTAGAAAATCAAAATCAAACAAAGGCTTCAAAGGTCACCGAGAGAAGATGAGGCTTTAAAAAAAATCAAATATGTTTCTTGTAACCCGACCGATCCATTCAATTTAACCCCGAGTCCACGTGGATTTTTTTCCTGCCAAATCTCAATCAGCTGATTCAATTTATACAAAAATGTTTTTATTGTAGCTTTATTTGAGATATAAAATATGTCAACCTAGTCAACATTTACCTTAAATAAAAAGATTAATCATTATTATAACATCAAGCCTTTCTTGAAGTTCATTTTCTGCCGCTTGACAGCCATGTTGGATGCCCGTTGTAAATATCACTTGGTTAATTATACCTCACGCAACAAGTTGCGTGAGGTATAATGTTTTTGACCCGTCTGTCAGTCAGTCAGTCCGTCAGTCCTGTTTTTTTTTTTGTCAGCGCAACTCCTCATAAACCGCTGCACAGAATTTCGTCAAACTTTGCAGATATTTAGTACACAGTGTGTAAATGTGCATATTACCAGGAAATTCCGATTCCATTATTTTTCTGGGAAATTCGGCACTTTTCAACTTAGATTTTTGGCCATATCTTGAATATAGAGATGCACAGTTTGTTAGTGCAACTCCTCTTAAACCGCTGCACAGAATTTGGTTAAACTTTGCAGATATTTAGTACACAGTGTGTAGATGTGCATTATACCAGGAAATTCCGATTCCGTTATTTTTGCCTTAAGAGTTTTGCCTATTATTGTAGAAACTTTCCAGCTAGGTAATAAGGAAATTCACTGGAATCAGCTTTTGTAATGAAATTTTATGTGAAATATTTTATGACCTTAAAAGACCCCTATTGATTTTGAGATCAAAATATTAATGATTTAACACACACAGAAAATCTTGGATAGTTCTCACCCCCCCCCCCCCCCCAATTGGTGCTTTGCCTTAAATAATTTCATAAGTACAATATATAAACAAATTCATATGACTACATCAAAATTTTGTTTCTATCAATTATTTAAATGTGTAAATTGTCATGTGTTGGACATGGACTTACACTCATTAACAAATCGAAATCACTGAGGAATTTAAAATAACAGTTTGTCAGCATAACTCCTGCACTGAATTTCCTGAAACTTTGTAGGTATTTCAGACATAATGTATAGATTTGTATATTACCAAGAACTTTTGATTCCTTTATTTATCTAGAAACTTCAGCCCAATTAAATTTGTAACGTACAAAGATTTGAATGTCCTTATATGCAAGAAGTTTTGATGTGATGATTTTTTGCAAGTAATGCCCCTTTTTGAATTATACTGTGTATTTAAATGCACTGTGCCATTCATTACGTGTTGCATTGTCGAGTTTTGGGGGAGCGTGGGGTATGTGAGCTTCCTCACTTTTTCTTTCATTCAGTCCGGGATGTTTGACTATTATTCACTAGCAAACAAAAATCCCAACCTACCGACCCTTAATTTTTTTATCAGTGTTACCTGGTTACAGGAAACAAATATAATTTTTTTAAAGGCCAGATTACCATTTTTTAAACGTAAAAATATTGGTGATCCACGACTAGATCACAATTCTGTACTGACCCACTATAGTAGGCCCTGTATTGTTATTAATCAAAATAAAGCATGAAAAAGGCATTTAATCATTCTTTTAATTTTAATCTTCACTTTAGCCTGTAGATTTTATATGTACAGGCTAAAATTAGCCTGTGGTTAAAAAAGTTAATTTCGATCCCTGGGGTTAACAACGTGACCTTAAGGAAACCAAAAAAAAAAAAAAAAAAAAAAAAAAAAAAAAATAATAATAATAATTGCATCTACTCTATGTGTAATGCCTTTCATTTAAAGAAATTGCACTACTAGTATTTAGACACTGTTATGGATGTGCAACTAACATGCGATGTCACAGTGAAGAGTGAGTTTCGTGGTGTCTGAAGAGACGGAGAAAGCTAAGCTATGCAAAGGTTTTTGATGGTATCCAGTCTAAACACAACTGCGCTCGCCCAAACGGTCGCACCGTGAAACATATTACAAGTATCCAGTAAAGAATGTTATAAAAATATTTGTACCATAATTTTTTTTAACAATTGATTTAGGGATCATAGATCATAGAGGCCTCTGCTGGTGGACTGTTAGTCCCCGACGTCTCTACAGCCCAGTAGCTAAGTACTTCGGTACTAGTTTCATAATACAGATATATATATATATATATTTAAGGAGGCTCATTACACCCACAGTTTATTTTAGATTTCATTACAGCATCACTTATTATGAAGATTTCAAATATCCAAATGGAGGTTATGATACGATAAATATTTTTTAAAGATGTTTTTTTGTCTTTTTTCTGATTTTGGTTAAATGTTTTAAGTTTCTGATTGATAGTATTGCAGAAATCTCAGTGTCAAGTGATGAATATCATCTAATAACACTCTATAATATTCAATATTATTTCTATTAGAAAAAATATTTTTCTGCCATAAAAGAATTAATGTGATTTTCTTCTTAATCTTTGCATGAATAATTTGGAAAAACAGTTATAAATAAACAAGGAATGTATATTTATGAATAACAAGTGACAATTTGAATGAGAAATGTTTCAAGGAAATGAAAATTCCAATTTAAAAAAAATAATTGGAAAAAAGTCCACTTGTAACAGTTATCTTTCCTAAATCCCCCTGACTCAAAACACTTAGGAACGTTTGAACATATCAAATTCAGAATTAGACTAAAATTTCTAGAATAAATATACATTTTTCAAAGAAAAAAAGACAAGCACACAAATCAACAAGAGTACAGTACTCTAAAAGCGCAAGTCAATTATAATTTATTTCAACGAGGTTGTAGATTTCAACTCGAATTTCCTCTATACGTACATGTTGTCAGTGGTAGAACTTGCTGCTTTCACTATGACATTGTACACTACTTGGGAAGCGACGATTTGACTGTCATTCTCTTTGGTTTATACTTAAAAATAACCCTTCTTCATGAACCCGTTACCTTGTTTTCATTGTTTACGACATCGCATGAAGTCTACTTTAAGAGCGTTTTAAAGCGAAGCTGTACAATTCGTCCCCAGGAGAAAACGGACGAAACAATGGAGGTTTATTTTTCTGCGTAGTGCGTCATCAAAAAGTGGTGTAATGAGCCTCCTTAATTGCTGTGGTAAAATTTTGAAATTTATTTCAAAATTAAGGATTATCTCCCTCATGCATAGCTCTGATCCTCCGACGTATTTGACTCCAGTCTTTGGCACTTTTTTTCAGCTCTTCAAAGTCTTTTTTTTTTTTATTTAAATATTTTGGATTTCCAACCTTTCGGCATGAGCATCACTGAAGAGACATAATTTGTCGTAATGCGAATCTGTGCATCAAAATTGGTACCGTATATGATTTACATTAACTTTTATAATTAATGAGAAAAAAATTAATATAATCGAATTTTTTTCACCTTAAAAATTTGGTATCGAGCTTAGTTTTTTTGTAGACTTGCAAACTTCTTCAATGTCAAAAAGTTCGTTAACATTTGTTTTTAATTATACCCTTATTTAAAATCTATAGGTTTTAGCCCCTTCAAAACTGAGTTTACTTGTGTGTACATATATACATGTACATGTACATATATATATATATATAGGGAGAGAGAGAGAGAGAGAGAGGAAATTTAATAAATTCTTAATTAACGTACGTGATTTAAACTTACAATGTAATGAAATATCAGAAATAATGTGTATACAAGACATCTGATTTGATTTAACTCCAAAAAATCTTTAATACAGTAATGGTCAGGAATCTACTGAATGTATTAATTTTGAGAAACAGATTTTCTTTTCTGTCCATATAAATTAAAAAAGATATTTAAAAAACTTCACTTCTTTCAACAGAAAATCTGTTTTAAGTCACACATCAACCGAAAACCATAAGCAATGAAACTGTTCTGAGAACAAAAATGTGTTCAATACCTACCTTGTGAGTTCTGTAAAAATCGTGAAAACAGACAGTCTCATGGTTAATTTCATTTTACCTCGAACACATTCATCACGTTTCGACAACTTCTCAAATATAGATCATAATTATTGTCAATCTCTACTGCATGTCCGCATCACGTTCTCGCTTTAGGAGCGCACTGAGACGGACAAAAGAAAAAATACTGAGGTTAGTTATAACCTGTCATATACAATACTGGGAAAAAATGTATTCATTTCTTCAAAATTTTAATTTTCATAAACCTAGGACATTTGTTTTACATATCCAAATAAGTAGGGAAAATTCTAAAACACCAAATAAACTTGAAATAAACCCATGTAAGGGCTTTTCAATAGTCTCTCAAAGATCTAGGGTGCTGATGGTCGTTTATACACTTTAAAAGGCAGAGTATCGTATCAACGTTGAAACCAGAAAACGCTCCATTTTCAATAGAATACTGGTTGCCTGATGCCACGTGCGTCAGGCAGTATAAGGATGAAAATTTCCATGGTCCGAAACTAAGCGATCATACTTAGCGAGCTAGATTTTGTGCAAGCTGATTTACATCGGAATTTGTTACCTTCATTTAAACAAATACAGTTTGCAGAAGAAATAATCATATTACTGATGCAAAATAATGATATGTTTACTTCCTTCTTTTTTTTTTTTTTTTTTTTTTTTTGCATGCACCTGTCTATTCTTTGCGATTCTTTATACGGACATGTCCGTGTAACATTTTTTTGCTGGGTTTCTAAGCTACTGGATCAGTCCATTTGTCTTCTACGAAAGGGGTGACACAATCATGTCGCAAGTAAATTATCTTCGCGTTTTTTTCTTGAATTGTTCTATTGAATGGGTGTGATAACTTCTATGGAAATAAATAAAGTTTGTTCTTTAACCTGATTCTTAAGTTTCATATTTTTTACTAACTGCAAATTTCTCATTAAAAAACACACATTGTATATGGGCAGGCAACACTAAACCAATGGATTTGCTGATTATTCTTACTATTTTGTTTCCCGGTTACCCCTTTAGTGGACTAGTCCAATCATAAACAAATTCTCTCCACCTAGTGAATGGGACATCCCTTCTTGATTCAGTCTGTTTTCCACCCCTTCTTTCAATATTACAAAATAATGTACTTTACAAGACAGCTTTTCAAAAAGCTTACTAAGTCAATCAGTAGCCGCTTTTTGAAGAACAAGGGTTTCCTTTTAATACAGTGACAAGAGTGAGTACTCGTAGAGGAAATGGGCTTCACTCCCGTAAGGTTTTAAGTAAAGAATCGGCAAAATGATTTCAGAGGACATCATGATCTGTACTGGTTTTCATTTCATTAAAAAAAACACGTTATTATAGAGGAAATGAGAAAAATCCTGATATCGACTGAAAAGAAAAAAAACTGTAAACGATTTTAAAACTGTATATAAAGATATATTTTAAATTCATTCATAATATAAGACCATCATCGCAAGTGAGTTTTGTCCAGGGGGGATTATTAGTATCTTGTTGTGCTCTATCAATAAAGTATACAGACCATTTACTTTGCGTCCTAGAGCAGCATTGAAGCATTTTTGTCTCAAACACCTCAGCTTTCCTAGTTAAAACTGTTCACAATTTACTTCGTCGTCGAGAACGACGGAGAACAGACCAGTCTATAAATAGAGGCCGTATCATCAATCTGTCACTGACCAGATAGTGTGAAGAAGCGCGCCCTCTGGTAAGAGATTAGAACGACTCGTTTGACTATTTTCCCCAGAATTCCAATCTACGCAAGTGCACTTGCAGTTTCATTCCAATGTAACTAGTCAGCCCGTGGGCTAACTAATAAATGACCAGACAGTGGCATGTCTAACATATTCGTTAATTTGTAATATTTGGTTATGACATTTGAGAAAGTCAATTGTACATATATCGCAACTACATGTATGTCGCTCCTTGATGACGAGAACGTTTAGCACTTCTCTTGCTTATCCGTTCCATATATATTGATTGATTAGTCAGGCAAGCTTTTTGAAAAGCTATTACTTGTAATTAAGGTTGTAACGTATTTTTCTGGTAATTAATTATCGCTGTTCAAAGAATTGGTTATTTCTTATAAAATTCGTTACTTCTAACATGTATACATAATTATGTTCATTATAATCCTTCCTTCACGAATTACCACTAATACATGAATTGTTTTATTTATTGATGGCTTACCATGAATTTTCTGCATCTCAGACAATACAGAAATCAATCTGCAAAGTAAGTGATAAGCGATGATGACATTTTACATTAATTTTCTTATAATATTTGCAGTGGACCTGACGGAATTCATTCCTACAGACTAGTTGAGCTGCAGACCAACCCTCTCAGGTACATTGAATCTATGTCTTTAAGGTCTTTTATGTATAACGGAGCACTTCCGGTAAAATGGCGACACTTTCGAGGTATGTACAAGTCATTATACGAGTTATCAACCACTGTAAATAAGCACGGCCTAGGGACTTTTGACATTAAATATATAATCAGAGCAAATTAACTGAACAGGGGAAAGAACTAATAGAATAAATGTAAGAATATGCGTTACGCAAGTTTAAAAGACAGTTAGAAACGCTATTCATGGGTTTTCCGAATTCTGCTAATCGTCCTTAAAATAACTTACACCATTTCGACATTTCACAAAAGAAAAAAAACAAGTAAAAAAGTATTTATTACTTAAAAGCTACTTACATCAATCCATTTTTGCAATTTTTCCGATTTCTGCTCGCTTTCAGTGCACATATTAAAACGTGTAATAAATTGCATCTGAAATTACCTATGAACTAGAGGTTAAATGCAGGTGGTGGTTTTACGCAATTTTCGTAATTTAATAAGATTCTCAGATTTTGTCTCTAGTAAAAACAAGAACACTGTCAATGAGACAGCTTGCAAACCGAGTTTTCAAATCAAAAATCAAAGTCTTGGTTATATACGAGGGTTGTTCGGAAAGTTCGTGGACTACCGTCATAACTTTTTTACCTAACGTCATATTATCTGTAAAAATCTAATCAAAAACATTGAAAAGTTAGTAACGTCATGCTAAGAGTTAAGCGTTACACAGATGCTGATCTTGTAAAAGCACACTTATGCAGTGAAAATATATAACATTGAAAAACAAAACAATTGTTAGCGAAATAGATTTCAAGTGATATAGAAACGTTTTTAATGAGTGCACTGGTATTGGGCAATACTGTGTGGAATGTGTAAGGATAGTATTTTTGAGAACCTCATGTCGGTATGTTTTGACGTTACAGTGTTGTTGCGTTTGCTCCGTGGTTACAAAACTTGTTGATTTTAAAACTAAATCACATGAATTCTATTCAATCATATGCAACGAAACTTCACACTTAAACAAAATAAATATTTTTACATATGATAATGTGCTCATTTTAAATTTTTAGAAGATAGTATAACGAAGATTGGCATAGTCCACGAACTTTCCGAACAACCCTCGTATCTCTAGATCTGATATATGTAAAATTGATCCGCAAAATAAAAAAGTTCCTATCTTGAAAACTGTAGGAGGAGTTATCCGGACAAATGATGTACCCTTTTGGCCGCCGCCCGCCATTTTCACCATTTCAATAACTGTATTCTCCTACGAAAACCTGGCCAATAAAATAATGTTGTGTGTGAAATCATTGTCAAAAACAGGTGTTTCTTGGTTGTGACTTCTATGAGCAAACCTTCCATCAGAATTTTAGGTTCAGTAAAAAAAAAGCTAAACAACGAGAAAAACTTAACAGTAAATCGAGGTTCATGACAAAATTTCGCATTACTCCGAACATATGAGGAACAAAATATTTATTTTCAGCTAATTTAAACCATGAAGACAAGAATGTTATTTTTTTAGAGTAGTCCATTTAATGTACTTTTTTCAAGGTCAAAAGCTCAAGGACATTGCTCAGTATGTCATAAGGTTCGCTTCTTCAGTTTAGAGGTCATCGGAAACGATTCTTTGATTTACACTACTATTTCACTTTTTAAACCTAAAGCTATATATGAAAGAATGTTAAATTACAAGTAGTAATTTTTTCTGGCATTAATTCTACTGAAAAATAAAGGTAAAAACTATTCCAATTGTTACTTATCGTTCTTGATTTTTTGGTTTTATGACGTCCTAAATGCCCACAGATGTAAGCAGAGCATTGGGCATAATGTAAATCTACCCTATTTTCTAAAGTTAATTTTAATCATTTTGTGGATATAAATGTCTCTATTTTCATATGAGTTATTCAATTTCGTAGTTCAGTCAATTCAGTTTGAACGAGTTTAATAAGGTACGGCAACTGAAAACGGGCTTTTTTCTTCGGAGGATAGTCCTATAAAAATTACGCTTCTACCCTCCAAATATTAGTACTTATCATTACTTCAGAAACAGGAAAAAATATTCATTTCCCTCTTTGATAAAAATATGATACATATCAAGAGGATTTCATCGTCTTTAAAAATTTCTTATCAATTGTTTTTTTTTACTTCAAGAAAAATCGTGTGATACAATAAAGAATAGAATGTTTATTAAAATTGACATATATCAACTTACAATGATAATTGGATTAAGCCTATTCTATTTAAGAAAACTATAACATGTATGTAGGGAAAGTCCCTCACGTGTATCCACAAAATAAACACGGGGACCAGTGGTATTGAAGACCGTGATAAGCGTGGATCACTGAAAATGTCAGCGTGTTTGAAGTTTCGTTTTCTACAATCTGAAACACACATATTGCTGCAAAAACGATATAGTAATAGAATCCCTGAGTATATGACAACATGACTGTATTCTCATACAGAAAGAGAATACATTATTATACAGAAGTAATTTTAAGCTGTAAGCAAATGAGATTCTAAAGATACCGATTCTTTTTGCAGTCACGATGATAGGTACTGATCTTTGATACATAAGTAAAACAAACTGACTGTCAAGATTCTTACAAATGTATAAGTATTAAATTTTACTAAATTGAACAAGAGGCCCAAGGGCCTTAACGGTCACCTGAGTATAATACATCACTGTAAAGGATCCTTAGAAGTAGAAAACAAAATTAACTGACAGACGAAGCAATGTTGCCTAAGAATTTCAAAAATCTGGTAAAAATACCCTTGCTTATTGTAACCTGCTAGACCCAAGTAATATCCTGGGGATTATACCTGGTGCTACAATTCAGTACACACAGACTTGGGTAAACAACGTGGCTATTTGCCACTTGTCACTAATTACAATAAATCAACCTGGCTCTCCGTGATTCTTTGTTCACTTTGATGAAGTATAAAACATACTCTACCAGTGACAATAACTCGTCTAATGTCAAACAGATTACCACAGTGTAAACATACTGTGTACAATTACAACTTTTGCTAAATGTATAAATAATATTTATGTCAATCTTTTATATTGCTTTCCAGGCAAGAATCTGACTTTGAGCATGCTTTGCTCATTTAAACCATTCATTCATTTTTATTTTGTTTCTAAATATATGTAACATTCTTTCTTGTATTCTCATTCATGGAGACGCCACCACTTGCCGGTGGAGAGCTGCACATTTTGACCTATACTCGGCACTCGGGGCCATTGAGCAGCGAGGGATCTTTTTCGTGCCAGCACCTACTGCGACACGGGACCTCAGTCTCATCCGAAGGACCGGTCACCACGTCCCACAGTGGGACAATGCTTATTACAATCATGCCAACAGTTTGTCTGCTTTATGTCCAGGGGTAAAGAAGAAGATTTTTAAAGAATTGCATTAATTTTGATAGTTTAGCCCCATCCCACCCTCACCCCCCGAGGAGGGGGGGGGGCAGGGGCATGAATTTCAAATTTTTTACTCCCCTTCACCCATAGATGTTATATGTCAAAATAGGTTGAAATTGGTTGAACAGTGTTTCCAGAGGAGCTAAAAATGTTCAAAAGTTTACGACCGACGGACGACGACGAACGGAAACATAGCAATAGGTCGCCTGAGTGACTCAGGTGATCTAAAAATATCATTTTTTTTATTTATTCAGTATTTTCTCTTGGTAGAATTCTTATTTTCAATACATTTTATAGAAATGTTTCCACTTGTTGAAGCCGTATTTGTTTATATTATTTTATTTTTTTGATAGGTTTTTTGTTTAAAAGTCGTTTGTACTAATTAACTCGCATATATACAAATTTATGTAGTTTATTTCTTGTCAGAGTTGTTATTAAATTATCTGCGAGAGTTTTAAAAATAAAGCATTAAATTTCAAGAATTTTCAATTACCAAAGAAAAACACGGGGGGGGGGGGGGGTAGAGAGACGGGAGGTGGGGGGGGGGTGTTGTACATGAGTAAGTGAATAAAAATAGAAGCTGTCAACTAATTAGAGTTGAACAAATTGTATAAAACACTATCACAAGAAAAATTTAACGTTTTATTTCACATTTGTTTCTTTTAAAAAGCCATATAATTATATACAGCGCGTACGTGACGCATTTACAAGTTCACTTGCAAGGCAAAATTGAATCATTCACCGCGTTTGTAAATAAATGATTTTATTAAAACAACTGGCCTTGTTATGAAAAATAAATTCATTCTCCCTGTCGCTTCTTTCTCTCTTTCGATCGCTTTTACTTTTTCTGTCAATCGATCGAAATGTCAAATGATGAAAATGATCAAATTTTACACAGACTGATAAAACCTGCAAACATCTTGCAAACATGCGATAAGATCTTTTAAAAAGCAATACAGCATTGTTTGAAGATCGTTTAATTATACATGGTTTAAGCCATGATTGTTATATTTCTAAAAATTACGCTGCAAAATGACATAGTAGTTTGTAGACATTGCACAGCTTTGAACAGTGACTGTGCCTTACCGAGTCATATGCTAAGGGAGATAAAGAACGTAAGTCATAGCTCATTTTCACGATCGAGTAATTTGGATCGACTGTGTTGTCGCTATCAGGAATAAAGAATCCAAAAAACAATTTCAGTCTTATTTTATTAGCTCAGAAGAAGTTATTCCCGTATGTAACTTAATAGGTTCAGGTATATGTTTCGTACGACCTTTAATTTGTAACGCTATATCAACGTAAAAGCTTAGTTGACGCGTATCAGGAACTGAATGCTGAAAAAAAAAATCGTTAAAATTCCAGAAGATCGTGGTAAAAAATATTTTAGGCATATCATTTTTGTAATCAATGCTCTAAGTCCCTTTCTAATTAATTTTCAGCCCACTTTTTTTTTCTTAGAAATAAGTTTCTAAGAAATGCACACTTGACTTTAAGTAAGGTATATTAAACTGGAAATTGCACCCCCCTTGGAACGCAAAAGATGTTGCTCCGGTTTTTGAAAAAGAGTAAGCACACTGGGTGTGGTCAGAGAACATTAAAAACTTCAACGCATCGATCAAAGGAATAAGTTTTACCGCTGTCATATTGCTGAAATACTGCCTACTCAATATTAGAAATAAACAATCGGGCTTTGTCCTGCTTTTATTACTCAAACTTCCAGTACCATGCTAGGCGCAAAGCAGGCAATGGCAAATCAGTATGAAAAGGTCGAAGTGTTCCACATAATCCTCATATCCGGCAGTCATTTCCCGTGAATGAAATTTTTGCAGATTAATGCAATCGCTGAAATTAAAAATGTAGAATTTGATTTGCTACCATTCAGATGTCAAATTGCAAAAATTTCCACGTGCAGTAAAATACCATCATACAGTAGTCATGTGATTAACTACCAGAATTTAGGGTATAACATTTCTCCCTCTTACCAAAAAGTGAATTATTTTTAATAAATTCTATTCTGTGTGGTTGTGGTTAAATTAAATATCAAATGATGCTGAATTGACATTGCAGCAAAAGATGGTATGACATGCCTGACTTGGGGCTTGGCAACAGAATGGTTATTTCAAACACGTTAGCGGATACACAACAAGAGCAAAGAAACAGACAAGGTATTTAATAAGACTTTTTAAAATCACCCCAGTCACTACGGTGACCAATATTTTTCAAGTAAACTGACCAATTTTAGGAAACAGTCTCACTCAGTTGACTCCTTCTCTGTGCTATGTGCGTCGTGTTTTGTTTGACATTTGTCGACTCGACAACTGCCTCTCTGGAACAGCTGAACCAATTTCATCCAGTTCTGGCAGAGCAGAAGTGGTTAAAGATGAACAGAAATTCTGAATCAAGCTGATCAAGAAAGGCCATTTTTTTCTGATACAACCCCCCCCCTTTTTTTTTTAGTTCAAACTACTTTTTAGCATTAGCGAAGGATGTAAATTCTCTGAATAAGCTTTTTTTCCTTTCAGCAGCACACTACATCTTACGGAACCCACAGAATCATTACATGAGTCGAAGGATTTCGAAGAGATTAAAGTGGATATATTAAAAATCATTGATGTATTGAAAACAGATTTTTAGAATGAAGGTTTTTAAAGAGACTAAACTTGTTCTTTTTTATTTATCAACCGAGTTCACTTTCAACAGTAAGCAAGAAATTTGCTTTACCTCAAAACGAGTAGGCATATGCTGTATTACGTATCACAACTCCTCTGCAAGGGCATTTAAGGTTTGCCAGGTAGAGGAAATAACCCTAAAGAAATCACCTTAAGTCAACTTGCAGATAACACACGTGTTAACATTATATTGTGGAATTATCAAATATAATAGAATAGAGAATGTTTAATTCAGTCGGAAGTAAGTTACCCAGGTGTGTCACTCGTCAGGGTTTTGAAAAAAGTTAATATCAAAATCATCGTTTTTCATTCAATTTTTATTCATCTGAGTTGCTGTTTTCGTCCGTCGTCGCGCGTCATTCGTACACTTTTGAACGAATTCGGCTCCTTTCTCTTGAACCAATTTCAACTACTTATGGCATATTGCATCAATGTGTGAAGGGATATAAAACTGTGACTTTCATTGTCCCTGCCCCCCTGGGGCCTGAAGGGTAGGGCTAGAACCATGAATAGTAGTGCTATAGCTGTATCTTTTGTTTAGAAAACTTCTTTACTATTAAACATCAAGCATTCAAATTGTTTGCATGATATAATAAGTATACCCTGTACCAAAATTTATGAAATTTATGGTCAAAGGGTCAGGGATTCTGGAGTTGGGACAGAGACTCTAGTATACCGACATATAGTTAAAATGCACAAATACTTTTAAAAAGTCCCCCCCCCCCTGTATATTTAGTAAATAAACTAGATGCATACTTATGATGAGCAAGGAATCCTACATTGTGAAATTTTAGGTTCCAGGATGAAGGGTTCGGGTTGAGGGGCTCTATTAACTGTATTAGTGATAATATACAACCAGTATTTCTTTGAAAACCTTCTTCTATGCATTCCCCTGGGTATTAAACAAAGTACATAGTTAAAAAAAAGCAAGGATGTCTTTTCCATTGTTAGGAAGGAGTTCTATTTAGTATTTTATACAGTTAAAATATCTTTATTCTTTCAATTTTTTTCCTGTTATTTAGAAGATAAACTAAGTGCATGGTAATGATGAGCAAGGGTGCCTCTTCCAAAATTGTGTATGGCCCTCGGGGACAGGGATTCGGAGTGGTGGGTGGTGTGGAGGGCTGTATTAATTAAATATTGAAAATGCAGAAATTCTTTTTAAATTCTTTTTCCTGGGTTTTAAATAAATAAACCAAATGCATAGTTATGAGCAAGGATGGCTCTTCCAAATTTGTGAATTTCATCTCACCTGGCTCAGTGGTTCTGTTAGGACGGGGCTATTGATTACATTTAGATGGTAAAAATGCCTTAATATTTTGAAAATCATCTTCTATTCTTGTGTATTAAGGGGATGTACCGAGTGCATAATTATAATGACCAAAGATAGTAAAATTTGTGGTCCCAGAGTCAGAGGCTCTGGCGTTCGGGGGGAGGGGGGGAGGTTAAAGGGAGGGAGCTTCATTAATTATATATTGAAAAATGTATGAACTCTTTAAGAAACTTCTCTCCCCCTGCATATTAAACTAGGTACATGGTATGATGCGCAAAAACAAGAGGCCCGTGGGCCACATAGCTCACCTGAGCACTGTGGCTAGAAAAAAAGCAAAAATCGGTTCAGCATTGAAAAGCTTAAGTGGTCCCGACCTACCCCTAAAAAGGGAGAGGGGTATGATTTAAACAAACTTCAATCTAACTAAGGATGCTTACATATTTCTTTGACTAACTGTGGCTTTTTTCCTATCAGTTTAACCTTTCTATGAGGTCCCACCCTACCTCCCGGGGGTCATGATTTGAACAAATCTGAATCTACACTACCTGAGTATATTTCCATATAAATATGACCAATCTTGGCTTTGCTGTTCTTGAGAAGAAGATTTTTCCTATACACTCCTATGTAAAACTTTGCTAATTCATTGTGGCCACATCCTACCCCGGGGATCATGATTTGAACAAACTAAAATCTACACAACCTGAGGATACTTCCAAATAGATAATTACCAATCATGGCTTTGCTGTTCTTGAGAAGAAGATTTTTCCTATACACTCCTATGTAAAACTTTGCTAATTCATTGTGGCCACATCCTACGCCGGGGATCATGATTTGAACAAACTAAAATCTACACAACCTGAGGATACTTCCAAATAGATAATTACCAATCATGGCTTTGCTGTTCTTGAGAAGAAGATTTCTCCTATATACTCCTATGTAAAACTTTGCTCGTCCATTATGGCCCCACCCTATCCCCTGGGGTTCATGATTTGAATAAATTTAAATCTACACTACCTGAAGATGCTTCTATATGAATATGACCAATCTTGACATTGTTGTTCTTGAGAAGAAGATTTTTAAAGATTTTAGCTATATATTCCTTTATAAAACTTTGATCGTTTATTGTGACCCAACCCTACCCCCGGGGGTCATGATTTGAACAAATTTGAATCTACACTATACCTGAGAAGTCGCCCGCGTGGCGCAGTGGTTAGAGCGTCTGCTCTAGAGTCGCGGCGTAAGGAGTTGATCCTTACGTCGCGGGTTCGAATCCCACTGTGGAACGTGGAGATCGGTCTTTCGGATGAGACCGTATAAACCGAGGTCCCGTGTCGCAGTAGGTGCTGGCACGAAAAAGATCCCTCACTGCTCAATGGCCCTAAGTGCCGAGTATAGGACAAAATTTGCAGCTCTCCACCGGCAAGTGGTGGCGTCTCCATATGAGTGAAAAATTCTCGAGAGGGACGTTAAACAACATACAAACAAACAATATACCTGAGAATGCTTCCATATAAATATTATTAATCATGGCTTTGCAGTTCTTAAGAAAAAAATTGTTAAAGATTTTACTTATATATTCCTTTATAAAACTTTGATCGTCTATAATGGCCCCGCCCTACCCCCGGGGGTCATGATTTGAATAAATTTAAATCTACACTACCCGAAGATGCTTCTATATGAAGATGACCAATCATGGCATTGTTGTTCTTGGGAAGAACATTTTTAAAGATTTATCCTATATATTCCTATGTAAAACTTTGATCTTCCATTGTTGCCCCACCCTACCCCGGGGGTCATGATTAGAACACATTTGTATCTATATTACATAATGATGCTTCCATTTAAAAATGACCAATCACGGCTTTGCTGATCTAGAGAAGATTTTTAAAGATTTCTCCAATATATTTCTTTGTAAAACTTTGATTGTCCATTGTGGCTCCATCCTACCCAGGGGGACATGATTTGAACAAACTTGATTCTATACTACCTGAGGATGTTTCTATATAAATATGACTAATCATAGCGTTGCTGTTCTTGAGAAGAAAATTTTTAGAGATTTTTCCTAAACATTCCTCTGTAAAACTAATATCGTCCATTGTGGCCCCGCCCTGCCCCCAGGGGTCATGATTTGAACAAATTTGAATCTACATTTCCTGAGGATGTTTCCATTTAAATCTAGCCAATCATGGCTTTGCTGTTCTTGAGAAGAAGATTCTTAAAGATTTTTCCTATAAATTTGGACGTAAAACTTTGATCGCTCATTGTGGCCCAACCGTACCCCCGGGGGTAATGATTTGAACAAATCTGAATCTTCACTACCTGAGGATGCTTCCATATAAATATGACAAATCATGGCTTTGCTGTTCTTCTTCAGATTTTTCCTATATATTCCTATGTAAAACTATGATCGTCCATCGTTGCCCCATCCTACCCCGGGGGGTCATGATTTAAACAAACTTGATTCTCCGCCACTTGAGGATGCTTCCATATAAATATGACTAATCATGGCTTTTCTGTTATTGAGAAGATTTTTTTTAAAAATCCTATATATTCCTATGCAAAACTTTGATCGTTTAAATAACTCGTTTATTGTGGCCCCGCCCTACCCCTGGGGGTCATGATTTGAACAAACTTGATTCTACACTACCTGTGGATTTTTCCATATATAATTATAACTAATCATGGCTTTGTTGTTGTTGAGAAGATTTTTAAAAAAATTTTCCTATATATATTTTTATGTAAAACTTTGATCGTCCATTGTGGCCCCCGCCCTACCCCCGAGGGTCATGTTTTGAACTAATTTGAATCTACAATACCTGAGGATGTTTCCACATAAGTTTATCTTTCCTGGCCCAGTGGTTCTTGAGAAGATTTTTAAAAGATGTCATTAATTTTTCACTAATTTGTAATAGATATTACCTTCCCTTTGGAAGAGGGCGTTGCTCTTCATTTGAACAAACTTCATCCCCTTCACCCAGGAATACTTTGTGGCGAGTTTGGTTGAAAATGGCCCAGTGGTTCTTGGAAGAAGTCGAAAATGTGAAAAGTTTATAGACAGACAGACAGACGGACGCCGGACAAAATGTGATCAGAAAAGCTCACCTGAGCCTTCGGCTCAAGTGAGCTGATGAGACGATAATACCTTTTTTATATCCATTAAGTGTTGAAAGAGCAAGAGAAGCAACATGAAAGAGAATGAGATGTGCTTACTAACAGTACTCAGGTACTATTGTTTTGTTCAGTCTGCAAGGTGATATAGTGACAGTTATGGGACCATCTTTAACAAATTGTTTATTTGCCTTCACCCGACCGACTGGCTAAAAATGACCTGACTCAATTTTTTTTAACCTGCAACAAACGATATTTTTATTGTTTTTGTCCTGTCTGTCTGTTTGTCTGTTTATCTGTTTGTCTGTTGTCAACTTTAACCTTGCCCATAACTTTTGATTGATTGAGGCTATGACTTTCATATTTCACAGGTGTATTCCCTGTGACAAAACCTTTCTTTGGGTACCAGCATATTTGACCTTTTAACCTTGACCTTGGAGTTTGATCCACTTTTGCAAATTTTATGAGACTTTAACCTTGGCCATAACTTCTGAACAGTTGGTGCTTGGGGTTTCAAACTTCACATGTGTATTTTTTGTGACAAGGCCCTCCTTTGGATACCAACCACTTTGACCTTTTGAC